TCCCTTAGCTTTAATTGCTGAACAGATATCATGTGGTTTGGAATATCCCTTCGGCCAGTTTGGGACAGCTGTCCTGTCTATGTCCCCTCCCAAGACCTTGCCCACCCTCCAGCCTACTGGTGAGGGAGGGATGCAGGAGATAAAATCCTGATGCTGTGCCAGCACTGCTCAGCAGTAGCCAAAACACTGGGGTGTTACCAACACCTTTCTAGAGGCCAATGCAAAAATGGGAAAAATTGTCTCCATCTCTGCCAGACCCAACACCCAAGGGAAGACAGAGGCAATACCACTGTAGTCAGGAGCAGAACTGACTGCATGGTCCTTCTCAGATTAATATTCAGAAATGGCTGATATATTCAGTTCTTCACCTTGAATTTGTCTTCTAAATCCTCAGTGTCTTCCAGGACTAAATGGTTTAAAATATATTTGAAGGAAAAATAGAATAAAAATAATCAAAGTTGAAATGTGTCTTGGTAGTAAACATGAACTTGCTGATTCATATGCCACCTCATGTCATGATCTCAGAATGGTTGAGAGGGAAAGGTTGGAAGAGTGTGAGATGATTGGTTTCTCTGAAGCACTGCAAAACCTAAATCTTTTAGTTATTCTGCCCATTTGGGGTTAAGGAAAACCCACATTGCATACAAGCATTTTGATTCTTTGCATTTTGCCTGCCAGCACCTGTAACAAAAGGCAGTGGAACTGCACAGACAATCCCTGCAAGGGAACCTGCACTGTGTATGGAAATGGGCATTACATGAGCTTTGATGGGGAGAAGTTCGATTTCCTGGGAGACTGTGACTATATCCTTGCTCAGGTATCAATTTTTTTCACTTTTCCAACCATATGCTTTTCACAGCTTACTCTGTAGGGTTCAGTCTAAGTAGCTAAAAGTCATTCCCATGTAAAATAGCCAACACTGGTGAGCAGAACCTACTCCCCTCGTCTTGTACCTAGAACAGATACAGTGAGATTTTCCACATTAAACAAAGCAAATTGACCCTGAGAAGTGACACAAGAGGGCACTGTGTGATCCTAAACGATTTACTCCTGAGTTGAACAGTCCTTCCAACTGCATCTGCAAGCGAAAGGAATTGGTGTGGTATTGAAAAGTGTTTCTCTCAGCCATCCAAGATTGACATTATTTTTGTTGTGAGAGAAGCACACAGAGATTAATGTGTCATAGATATGTAATAATTACATGCAATGAGACAGGACTCAGTGAGACATTTTTTCATCCCCAAATTACAGTTCGATTTGCTAATTTTAAGGAAAAATATTCTTGCCTTTTTGGTTGAGCAGGACTGCTGCAATGAAAAGCTCATTTTTTTCCCCTTTAGATTTTATTTTTGAAAATCCTGGTCAAATATGAACCTGCCACCAGGTTAACTTCCACTAAATTCTTCAAAAACTCTCAGAGTTTTGGTGACTAAAAAAGTGAAGTCAAATCGGAGTGTCATTCATTTAGAGCTCTTGAGAATGTTTATGACTGGTCTAGTTGCCTGAAAAAATCTAATAGTATGTTATCTATTTTCCAAGGATTTTTGCCCCACTAACATGGATGCTGGCACCTTCCGGATTGTAATTCAGAACAATGCCTGTGGGAAGTCACGCTCCATCTGCTCCCTAAAGATCACATTGATTTTTGAGGTTTGTCTAGAAGGGGTTATATCTGAGGATTTTGCAGCAATTAATGTAGCATCCCCTTATACCCCCACTCAGTTGCTGCTAGAGAGTACCTCTGGAAGAGAAACAACTAGAAAGCAGAGGCAGGCAAGCTGGGAAAGGTTTAGGTATTTGGTGTTAACAGGGACACTGAACACTTCTGCAGGTGAGAGCATAGATGCAAGGAGACAACAGCACTCTATGTATGTGCATTTGCATGTGTGTATCTGGATTTGTGACCTTAGTGGTATAGGAGTGATGGTAAAGTTTTTAGAGAAGCGTGTTTCTGTACCATGGTTTGAGCACAGGGCAGAGTTTCTTCCCTCCAGCTCAGGCTTAGCATTTCCTCGAAGTGTACACAAGAGATTTCTTCCATAGTGGGGAGTGAGGGGATGGTGAAACAAGGCAGTGTGGCAAGGGGTGGTCTGGTATGCCCAATTACCTATGGGCTCAGGAGCTGCTGTGCCAGCAGAACAGATTTCATCCAGAATAAGGACAATATCTGTGTCTGTGAGGTAAGACTGGTCCTGCAAGGGCAGATGTTTCACACTGAACTCAGTGGGTCTTGTGTGTGCCTTATATGTCTGTCAATAAACCAAGATACAGTGTAAAGACTACAGAAAAACAAGACAATGAACAAGAGGCAGAATGCCAGTGTTGTTACACTAAGTGTTCTATTTGATTTCCTTCCATGCAATGAATCTGTTCCTTTGTAGAGCAGTGAAATAAGGCTCTTGGAAGGAAGAATTCAAGAGATAGCTACTGATCCAGGAGCTGAGAAAAATTACAAAGTGGACCTCAGAGGAGGCTATATTGTGATTGAAACAGATCAAGGGATGAACTTCATGTGGGACCAAAAGACTACTGTTGTTGTTCATGTGGCACCATCTTTCCAGGTACGTACGGGACAGTTATGATTTCAAACTCAAAGCTATGCATCTAGAACTGGAGTCCCAGTTTGAAAAGCAGGTGTTGGAAAAGAGTTTGGTTTAGTGGACAAGAAGCAGCAGCAAGCAGGCCATGTCTTGTGTTTTATTTCATTGTTCAGTCAGTGTGAAACACTCCAGAATATTTGGAGCTAGAAGCAAAGCCAGACACTTCACTGAATTGGCAACACACTAACAGAGTGCTTTTGCCATTGAAAGTCCAGGTTCTCTAAGCCTTTTTTTTATGTCTCTTTAGAAACTTGCAGCTATTTTACCTTGACCTGCTCTATAGTATATTTCTGTCAACGAGTTGGCTGCACTCAAAATAACCAAACCATTTACTGTGCCTACACAAATTACCCAGGGAAAAGTCTGTGGTCTTTGTGGCAACTTTGATGGCCGCTCAAGGAATGACTTCACAACCAGAGGACAGTCCATGGAGATGAGCATCCAGGAGTTTGGAAACAGTTGGAAAATAACAAGCACCTGCTCAAATATCAACATGACAGACCTGTGTGCTGATCAGCCTTTCAAGTCTGCCTTGGGGCAGAAGCACTGCAGCATCATTAAGAGTAACATCTTTGAAGCCTGTCACAGTAAGGTAATCCTTTGTTCTCGTCCTCAGTAGTTTCACACTAGATATTTGTTGCTATTTTGGAACACGTTTGCACACATATTTTTACTATTAGAGGCCATTACACAGCATCCTGGAGTACAAGGGCTATCTCTTGCAAAACCTCACTTCACCATTAAGCCAATTAAATCCTGTTGCACAGTATTGAGGAAACAGCAGTGCTTGTTTTGATCACCTGAAGATAAACAGGATAATAGTTGGGCACAAGAAGTAGGAAGTTAGGTATCTGTCTGTAAAATCTTCAGATAAGTTAGTCTAGAACTGTTTGTATGGTGATCCTTGGGAATGTTCATTCAAATTATCTAAAGAGATTAATTATTTGCTTTATTTTAGGCACAAATTGAATTAATCCAAACAGAAACAAGGCAACTATTAATTAGAATGCCTATACAAAGCTTCAGTGCATTTTAATAAGCCATTTTAAAAACAAACTTGTCTTCATTTCCTTGGTTCATTTATGTTGGCACAGGTGAAAACATACAAGACATGAAGTTTGGTGGAATTAGTATTTTCTTTTATACTCATTTCCTTTTATACTGACTTAATCACTGTTAGAGGGCATACACTATATAGTTGTGCTAAGCCAAAACAAGATAGTTCAGTCCAGCAGAATCACACTGGAAAGACATTTTGAGCATAAGTGGCAGTATTGCACACATGGGAATGAGAAGATTTAGAGTCCAATTCCACCAGGCAGGTGAAAATAGAAAACTACCTTTTGTACAATATCATAGCTCCTTCTTGACAGTCCCCGTCTGTCACCAACTGCCAGTGCATGACAGAAATTCAGAGCTCTTTCCATCATTAAAGCACAGTGCAGCAGGTACACCTGTGGTGACAGAACTCTTGGTATTTTGATAGGTGAACCCAATACCATATTATGAATCTTGTGTTTCTGACTTCTGTGGCTGTGACAGTGTGGGAGACTGTGAGTGCTTTTGTACTTCAGTTGCTGCTTATTCAAGAAGCTGTAGCAGAGCTGGTGTCTGTATCAACTGGAGAACTCCTGCCATTTGCCGTAAGTATTGCCTTCAAAATGCACAGAGTAAAGCTGTGCTCTGTGCAGTCAGGTACACAGGAGATAAAAAAGAGAAGAACATTGACATCACAATGTATATATGACTAAACAAGCTCTTTTAATCTTAGCTCTTTAAATCTTTTAAACAAGATTTAGAAAATAACCCCTGCCCATGTCTGACACCCAGAGGTATTTTGTTCTTCTGTTACAGCTGTGTTCTGTGATTATTACAATGCACCTGACAAACATGAGTGGTTCTATAAACCCTGTGGAGCCCCTTGTCTAAGGACTTGCAGGAACCCACGAGGGAAATGTGGGAACTTGCTGTACAGTTTAGAAGGTAATTCTTCCTTGACTTTGATGTAGTTTATGGGAGTTGCTGCTACTAGTCTGGTTTTAAATACCTTAAGCATCAAAGTGACTGAAAGGTTATCCCATTTGCCTCAGAAGCATTGACCATGCCTTGCCTAGGCTAATTCCCTATGTGATGGTGCCATTCATATCATGATTTGCCTGTTGTCTTTAAATATGGGGAGAGATAAAAGGCCATTCAACATAAATTTGCAAAGAATAATTACCTGTTGACAAACAGAGTTAATTAAAACTTCTGGGAGTGAGGTAAAAAGAGGACTTGGGAAAATAATTGATAGTGAAATGAACATTCATACTGGAATCACATTCATTTTGTAACCAAATCTCCATCTCATAGAGGTATTGATGTGTTTTCCTGTATCCATATGACGCAGACTGAGTGTGCTTTGTTTACTTTAACTTTCCAGGCTGTTACCCAGAGTGTAGTCCTGACAAGCCATATTTTGATGAGGAGAGCAGGGAGTGTGTCTCCCTCCTCAACTGCACTTCATGGTAGGTCTGTTGTTGGTGAGAAAGGTAGAATAGGACTAGAAAGGACAAGCTAGGCAATGTTTTGTGAATGTTCATAGCCAATGACAATCATTATTAAATACCTCAGGAGTAGGATTTTATGTAAAAGTAGATACAGTTGCAGATATTTTTATTCCATATACTGATTCAAGTATATAAACCAAATCTTTTTATCTTCAGCAATCCTGAAGAGAAACTGTGTACCGAAGACTCCAAAGGTAACTTTTCACCACCCTTATCATGCATTGAGTGCAATAGGACTGAAACAACCCAGCATCATGTATTTTCAGTTTTGCTGATTTCATTACAGTAATGGTAATGGGGTTCCATTCTCCAAAATCTGGACAGCTTCATTTATCACTGCATGCTTCTCATTAGTGGATGGAAATGGCTGTCCAACACCTTCTGAGCCAGTGTTTTGTTACTCAGCAAGGCAGTAATCCCAGTCACATTCCCTGCCAAGAGGGAATTTGGCTGTGCCCCATGCTGGGTGAGGCAGTACCAGTTCTGATGCTCTTATCAACCTGTCATTCCTCTATCCAAGCTGACTCCAAGAAACACCAGCAACAGCAAAAAACCAACCCACTTTAAAAAAATGAGATAGACTTCCAGTGCAGCTTCCCAATAGAAACTGAGAAAGTTTTCACCCTGGTAATTCATGTTTGATGCAGTGAGCTTCAGAAGGGAAAATGCAGAGTTTGGTTTCCTTTTAATTTGTATTTGTATTACAAGTGTCCCCTGTTAACATGACATTTGTTCTTTTGGTGCTTCAGTTTGCCTTTGCTGCTACAATGGAAAGAGCTACACCCTAAATGAAACTATATACAGCCATGTGTATGGGACCGAGTGTGGTGAAGCTGTCTGTGGCCCTAATGGAGAGATCATTAAAACATTTACCTCTTGCAGAACACCATCTACACCAGCACAAGGTACTAGATTGATGAGAAATTTGATGGTGATTCTGTGGAAGTCTGTAATGGCAATAAGATTTATCCATCTTAGAAAAAGCTTCCTACAGCATGTCTAGGATACACACAGGATTTAAGACTGTTGAAGTTTCAAAAATGAAGGATCAAAGTTTGTGGGTTTTGTGGTGAGGACCAAAAGAGTAATTATTATTCTTACTGACCTTACTGTCAGTGAGGCAGAGAAAGGATAGAGAAATATTTTTCAATACAACTTTTACAAAAATCTTGGTTATACCACAGTTCACACACTGATGTTGTCAGTCTCAATATTTCATACTTCTAAACCTTGTTTTTCTCCTTCTTACCACGTGTATCACAATATGGTTTTTAATGTACTGTTTTCTGTAGTGGAATAAGTGAGTCCCAAATGGGTCACTGGATCACAAAAGGAAAGCTGCCTGGTTCTTACTCCCATTCCTAACAACATGTTGCCAGACGAAGGGGATGTTTAAGGGCAGAAAACAGGAAATAAAAAGAGATAAAAAGTGGGAATTTTGCCATATGATTATAGCAAATAAATATAAATAACTAAAAAAAATGTGTATTATCTGGGTAGCAAATTACACAAAGGACACAAGAAAAATTAGAAGTTAGTCTATCTACTCATGTGAATAGAAGAGCTAAAGACTTAATCTTAAGCCCATGTGTACAGTATTTACTAGGAGTGTTAACAAGTGGAATAAGAAGTATAATGGGGTAATAGCTAGGAAAGGGAGGATTATTGAAAGCAGAGTGTAAGTGGCAAAGTAAAATGTCTGTATGATCTGTCTGTATTTAAATCAACAGTTTCTTTGCAACAAGGCTTTAAAAAGCAAAATGGAGTGCCGCTGAAAATCACCTCTCCAAAGTCAGGTGAAGTACTGCAGGATTGGAAACTTTAAACTGGAATTAATACATGGCAGTAGAAGGGGGCTTTGTTGTACTCTATATAGAAAAAACCCCACCAGACTGCAATTGGGACTATGTGTGCATTATTATAGCAGCATACCCTGCAATAGAGAAAGTGTATGGAAATGCAGAGAGGATGGATTTAGTGTGTACATATGCAGAATGTGGTGGGGGTAAAAAAAAGATGTTTTTCTTTTTAGTGATTGTGGTGAATGTAATAGATGTCATGGGGCTTGAAAGCAGAATAGCAGAGGATTGGAATATTAATTGATTTCATTTCCTGCAGAGCCACATATCCAATCTGTAACATCTGCACCTTCATCGTCAGTGGAGACCACTCCCTGTTTCTGCAATGACAATGGACAATTGATACAAATGGGTGAGAAACCATGCAAATTTTTTTTCTGCACCATTGATGTGGAAAGATGTACTGTTAGATAAAGGTGCTTCAGCAACTGCTCATTCTGCCTGCTGCAGTTAGACGTTGCCAGAAGTTGTTACATCTTTGAACTGTAACTAACACCTTCAGAACTACAACTCTCCCATATCCAATAACTTTGTTCTGGTTTGAATATGCCTGGTGTAAGGAAGCTTATACCAGATGCTAACGTCAGCAGAGCCCTGAATCCCGAACTGCTGAACACAAGCTTGTAACCCACTGCAGTATTCAAAAAATAGGAGAAGAAAGAAACTGCTTCAGCTATCAGTAGCTCCTGAACCACCTACCTCCTGGTCTTTGTGAAGACCAGATGCACTCAGTGATGTATTCAGTAATCTCTTGAACTCATTTTCAATTCCTGCTAATACACTTAAAAGCAGAATTTCAGATTAGCCACTTGTGGCCCTCCCTCAGCATTTGCCATTTGGATGAATTGAGGCTCCACTTCAGTCACTGAATTCAAGGAGCTGCAGACAGACAGTCACACGTGAACATGGCTATCGGGTACAGGCAGGCCCATATAGTTATATGCAGGGCTGAGTACATAGCTGGAATGTGATGCATAGGCCTTGGGAATTAGAAGTTTCATGCATGGTCTGGCACTAACAGCTGGGTTTTGGCCTTGCAGGAGAAAATGTTTCTCTGCCTGTGAATATATCAGGTCGTTGTGCTTACTCTGTCTGCAATCCATTGTGTCAGATTGAATTAATTTGGGCAGAGTGTAAAATGGGTCATACTGAGACCCTCAAGATCTGTGATCCAGATTCTGAAGCCTGTCCAACAACACCTGCTCCCAGTGCAACAAGCCAAGTTCCTGCTCCCACAGGGACTTCTGTGAGAGATTGTCTTGCACTCATTCCTCCCAGAAAGGTGAGAGACTTGGATATGTTTCATTATGCATCATTTCATCATTCATGCATTGCCTGCAGACAAGATTTGGTGTTCTTCTCTGATGCTGGTATCCACCACTACAGCTGGGCTGTAGGTGTGGCTGAATTAGATGATTCAGAGCTATACCAGAAACCCACATTGAGAGAATAAATTGAAGATTCTTCTATTCATCTGAAACATCTACATGATTGTATATGGGCAGAGCTATCTAAGCTGAACAAAGACTAGGAAGCCACATCTGGCTGTGTCTCATCATCAGAAGTGGTCAGGACCTTAATATTTAGTCCTATACAAAAAGTAGGTATCAAGGCTCTGTTGATTGCTATATGTTTCATACTGTCTGCTTTTCAGAGACAGAGTAGACACCAAATATTGCCACGCTAGACAATTAACTGAATGGAATGTAGTTGCTGTGTGTGATTTTAAAGATTTTGTTACATTACTTTATGTGCCTTTTTTTTCCAATCCATCAATAGTTTAATGAAACATGGAATTTTGGAAACTGCCAGACTGCCACTTGCCTGGGAGAAGGAAACAATATAAAACTGTCCAGCATGACTTGTCCTCCTCAGCAACTGAAACTCTGTGTCAATGGTTTCCCATTCACAAAACACTATGATGAAACTGGTTGCTGTGAAGTCTTTGAGTGTCAGTGTAAGTTGCAAGAGAATAACTGAAATTTATGTTATGTTATGTACCCAAGAAGGATAAGTCTATGAGGTCAACATTTATATTATGCTCATATTAATTGAGCAGGATACAGTGGAACTGATATCCCACCTAAAACATTGCCTGTTAAGAGTGGGTAAGTGTCCTTGCTAGGCCAAGTTTTCTGGTTTTTTCAGCTCTCACTGGAAGCAAGTAAAGGGTTAAAACCAGCTTGAATTTACAGGAAGCTCAGAATCCAGACTTGAATTCTGTCACTTTGTCTTCCAGGTATTTGCAGTGGATGGGGAAATGAGCATTATGTGACTTTTGATGGAACATATTATAATTTCAAAGAAAACTGCACCTATGTCCTTGTGAAGTCAATTCATCCTGACTCTCACAACTTCTGGATTCACATAGACAACTACTACTGTGGTGCCATTGATGGAGCAATTTGTTCAATGTCCCTCATAATCTTTTACTCCAATTCTGTTGTTATTCTGACACAAGCAATGGAACATGGAAAAGAAACGAACTTGGTAAAGTATTGTGTTCAAACTCAATATTATTCTCCTGTGGTTTTATTACTGTACTGCCAAATGTCCTGTCATGACAAATGACAAATCTTGCAAAATATGGAATTGGTATGAAATGCAATTACATTGCTTTTTGTATCTCTTTTTTTGCTCTGTGTCAACAAAAATTTGTGCATTCTACAACTTTGGGAAATGATCACATAACTAAAAATTTTGGGATTTGTCCTGATATGAGTATTTAAATATAAATTACAACATATTAAAAAGGAATCTTAAACACCTGCTTAAATGATTGCCTCTGGCAGGCATCACTTGGTGCATCTAAGGCCTGAATTTGTCCTGCTCTGCTTTCCAGTTGCACAAATTGTTTACCTTACTCAACAGAAAAGTATCCATAGAGACCATTTGTTCCTCTCTTTTTAGATTTTGTTCAATGATAAGAAAGTTGTTCCAGACATTACCAAGGACGGTATCAGGATAACCAGTTCTGGCCTTTATGCCATAATTGAAATACCTGAATTGGAGGTTTATGTCTCCTACAGTTGGCTTGCATTTTACATAAAACTCCCTTTTGGAAAGTTTTATAACCATACCATGGGACTATGTGGTGAGTGTCATCAGTTGACAACAATGAATGCAATAAATTTTCCTCAAACTTTTTCTCATCCCCTTGTAAATGTCTCTAAATGCTTGAACTCCACTGATTTCTATTTCTCACAAATTATAATAAATTTGTCTCTGTTTAGTGGAAACTGTCAGGAGACAGAGTTTTAAGCCACATCCTTTCATTCTGTTCACAGTCTGCTGGTGAATGGAGACAGACTTTTTCTAAGCTGTTCCTCTTGATCATATATACTCCATATGGGAATGTATGAGGTTTGGAAAGTCCTGTCCTAGACAGAGCCATCTCAGTTGCTTTGGCCACTAGGAGAAATGTATCAACCAACATGTCAATTCTGGTTTTCATGAATAACTAGAAAACTGTTTATTCTAGCCTTCTCTTCCTACAAACAGTCCTTATGAACTTATCCAGGACCCCACGTGTTTTTGCCTTCTCACAAGGAGGAGAACTTAACTCCAAGTGTTCTCTAAAAGCAGCTTCATCCATATCAACTGTCCTTGAACTGTCACTTTGCTTTTATATTGCTACCAGGTACCTGCACCAACCAGAAGTCTGATGATGCTATGAAAAGGAATGGTGAAGTTATTGAGTCCTTCAAAGAGATGGCATTAGGTTGGAAAGTCCCAAATCCTACCAACAGATACTGTAACCCAGGTGTCTCAGAACCAACTAGAATTGAATATCACCAGCATTGTGAGCCTTCTAATCTGTGTAAAATAATCTGGTAAGATAACTCCCCAAAGTGTCAGAAAAATAAGTCCACAAGATAATTTTGTGCTCCACTACATGGCTTGGGTGAACTGATTATAAGATATGATGAAGATATGAAGTCTTGCATACCTTGAAAAACTCAGCAGTGTGTGTTGAAAAACTCAGATAAGTGAGTGTTCCTGAGTCACATCATCAAAAATCAGTCCTCCCTTGTTACTGTCTGCTGCTCAACACTCCCTTTGCCTATTGGCAACTAGCTATAATTCAGTATCTGAAAGCTCTGAATGATGCAGAACACAGAATATAATATGCAAATGTGTGTGTCTGTATTTAAAATAATTTTGTGGTTTAAACCAGGATATTCAAACATGCTGACATAAAAATGTCAATATATAGACATATAGGCTGTGCAGCAGCCTTTCCAGGTAAGAGCCTGACATAAAAGTGCTTCCTTTCAAAGCACTGTAAAGAACAGGAGGTAAAGCTATTCTTAATTAAGCTGTGTGGGCGTGTTGCTTATCAGAGCAATTTGTAGTTGTATCTTTGCCTTAAGGCTTTGCCTGGGTGTGGATGGTTGGGTTCTGAGTTGAATTCCTCCTTGGATGTAGCCCAAGATCTGTCTCCTTGCTTTGTGAAGGACCTTGACTGAGTGCCATGGCGTGGTCCCCCCACAGCCCTACTACGAGGCGTGTGTGGCCAGTGGGTGCTCCGAAGAACACCCCAGCACCGAGTGCCAGAGCATGCAGACATACTCAGCCTTGTGTGGGCTCCACGGGGTCTGTGTGGACTGGAGGAGGAAGGCAAATGGGCAGTGTGGTAAGCCTGGGAAAGACCTGCTGGTGGTGAAGCACGTCTGTTCTTCCCTCACCTACACGCTTTGTTTATGTTCCTCCATATTATCAGGCTTCAATCTTTTCTGAGCTGCTCTAGACTTGTGAAAAAGCAGCAACAAACCCAAGAGGTTGTTCCAGTCCACAACTGGTGCTAAACAGTGGGAAAACAGAGCCCTAAGTCTCTCCTGAGTAGCTCAGCTGAGGAGCCCTGTGTGTTCTCCAGAGCTTCGTCTCTAGATGGCAACACACTGCTTCTCTCTGTGGGCTTTGCCCTGCTCAGGGCGATCCCATGGTTCAGGGCTAAGCACTGCTAGAACTGTCGCTAGCACCTTGCTGAATGCCTTGGCCCCTCTTGCTGAATCTCCAGGGACTCCCTTGCTGGGCAGGAGCCTGGGCTGTGCCGACCCGTGAGGCTGTGATTGTGTGTAGCCTGTTGGGCATCGAAGGGCACGCTGGAGTCTGGACTTTCTAACTTGTGTTGCAATGCTCCACAGAGGCCAGTTGTCCTCAGGATCAGGTGTACAAGCCATGTGGGAAAGCAAAAAGAAACACTTGCTTCAGCAGGTCAGTCATTTCCTAAGACATTTTTCAAGTCGATAATGTGAACATTGCCATGGAATTCTGAAGTTCACATTCCCTTGGAATTTAAGTGTCTGATTGCCCTGGGCAGCACTTCTACCTCTGATTCAATCCTGTTTATGTTTTAATTGTGCAGAGAGGTAGTTATGGACACCCTCCACTCCCAAAATAACACATCAGTGTTTGTTGAAGGATGCTACTGTCCTGATGGAAAAATTCTGCTGAATGATCATGATGGCATTTGTGTTTCTGCTTGTGGTAAGGAATAGCGTTAAATGGTGCCCTGGGAAGGTTGGGGATGGGAGTTGTGGGAGGGTGAAAAGTCTGACTAGGAGTACACATTGAGAGGGATGTTTTGGGTACAGAGGAAATGGGGAAGACCTTGATACTGACCCTTTCAAGTTAGGCTGTAAGCATTTCAGATTGACAGTTCCTGCCTGCTCTTATGCAGAAGGTAAAACTTTCAAAAGAACAAAAGGAGGATATTAAAGATTATTTTTGGTACACAGCCTGTGACACTGCACTCTGGATTTCTCTTTCTCTTTGTGGCTGTTTCTCAGATTTCAAGACCTTCTTTCAATTCCTGTCCTCTTGCTTCTGTTGTTTTCTCTGGTTCAGTTACCATTAAGTAACATGTAATTCTTTTTATAGGTTGCACTGCACAAGATGGATCAGTGAAACAGGTAAGAGGAAGGAAAATACTGTCTTTATTCTATACCTGGGTTCTGTGACATCTTGTAAAAACAACTGCGTGAGTTGTTTCTTTTGATTCTAATCTTTAAAAAGAGTGAATGGCAATGACATTTGGAAGGAAAATAGCAGATTTTATTAATTCCTGAATTTTTTAATCACTTGAAGTACAGAAGCAGAAGTAGCAATTTGTGGGAATCAGTTTCCTGATAGAACTACCAGGCTTCCCTTCTGCAAACACATAAACCTGCAAAGGAAGACAGCAAATAATAGCATTTTTTTCTTACTGTTCCCTTCTCATCCCTCTGGGATTTCAACTCTAATTTTCCTACATAATAAATTAGGGCAACTCAACCCTGTACTGTCTTGCAGCAGGCATTGATTGATATAAGGCTTCTAGTTTTTGCTCTCTGAACTGCCATCCCTGTTGTTCTTACAGCCTAAGGAGGTTTGGGAGCATGGCTGTCAGTACTGTACTTGTGATGAAGCAACCTTAAATATCTCTTGCTTCCCCCGTCCTTGTGCTAAATCTCCACCTATCAACTGCACAAAAGAAGGCTTTGTACGCAAAATAAAGACACGTCTGGATGACCCGTGCTGCACAGAGACAGTCTGTGGTGAGTAGATAATTCATGTGGCATCATGTGGCATCACTTGCCTTTAGCAGTAATTCTCAAGTGAGATCTGGTACTCCACAGGTACCAGATTCAAATAAACACATTGGAGTGGTAATTTCTTTCATCTACATACCAGGAGCTCTTGCTATCAGAAGAGAACTCCTCTACTCCAACTTGTACTTTAAATTAGTGCCATGACCTGCCAGATACTTACATTGGAAAATCCCCCCTGGATCATTGGGATTCACAGGTGATTCACAGGATCCTCTGCCTGTTGTTCTTCTGAGATGAGTGATCCCTCCACAGAGAGCTGTCCAGTAAGGGAGGCTGTGTTCATCCTCCAGACTCCCCTAAGGCTTCCTGTGTAGGTTCCTGATATCTTCCCTCACCATTGTATGTGCATCCTCCCAGTCCCAAATGCCTCCCATAGCACAGGACCCGCCTGCTCCTAACCCTGGCTGTTCCCAACACCTATACCAAGATGCATGACAGGGGATCCTGGCAATGGTGGTGGGATATTTTTCTGTTCCTCATTCCTTCAAGCTACCAGGCAGAGGTTCCTTAGGCTCCTTGGATTCCTTGAGGGAGCAGTGAGCACTGTCAAGGTGCTTTGCTGCCCATGTCCCAGCCTTTACATATTTGCCTCTCATTCACTGCTGATTCAGGTTTTTTACTCTCTGACTCTTTTATCTTTGCTCCAGCTTGTTTTCCTGTCACTTCTGTAAGGGTGTTTAGTGTTTTCAGAGATTACATCCAGTTGGGGAAGAGAAGCAGGAACAAGGGCCAAAAGTGTATGTCTCAGGAAGAGCTTTATAGTAGAGCAAACTTTGCGATATTTCACCTGAACATGTGCCAAACTCCAAAAATGTGTGATACAAGAATCATCTATTTCTACACAATTTTTTGGATATTCAAGCTTTGTCTACTGTATGGGATACTTTGGCTTACATTATCTTTGTTGTCTATTGCAGAATGTGATATACAAACCTGTACTGTCAAGAAAACAGGATGTGACTTAGGCTTCCAACCAGTGGTTGCTATATCTGAGGACGGTTGTTGTCCTATATTCTCCTGTAGTAAGTACCTTGTTTTCTTAAGGTGTTTTATTTATTCCTTGAATTATTTAATTCTTTTTCTAAATGAGTTAAAATCCAAAGCAGTAGCCTCTACTGTTCCTCTCAGCATTTACAACTGGTGCTTTTTGTTTGCTTTTTCTTTCTGTTTTTGAGTGGGAATAACTGATGCAGGTTCTCAGTAGGCAGGATTCAGTGTTGATATAGTCAGATACTGAATGATGGTGAAATTGAACCCATCCAGAAGCTCTGCTGTCAAACTATATTTACAGATTCACACACCTGAGCCAGCCTCCCATTGACTTTGTTACCAGCAAGGTGGTTAGCAATAAAGAAGGGTCAAGTAATTTCAAGTATGGGCAAAAAAACCCACCAGGAAAATACCAGGATATAGAATTATCCCCCACTTCATGTGTAACATCTGAGCAGATGCTACATGTGGGATCCTAAATAATAATTAGCACCATGTACTAGTTACTTTTTTCCCCTTTTATGTGGGCTATTGAGTTCAGTTCTACACTTTGACTTCTCTAAATCACTTGCAATTCAGGGATGCATACAGTAACTGTTTGCATCATCCCTAGCACATGATTTTTATTTTCTTTTTCTCTTACAGTACCAAAAGGTGTATGTGTTTCTGAAGGAGTTGAATTTAAGGTAGGTCTTCTTCCAGACACTTCTTTCCATGAGTTAATGCTGCCTGAGTCAGAATTTTCTGAAGTTGTTATTGTCAACACTCATACAAAAAGCAGGATTAGAATGGCCTGTAATTTTTCCCCGTCAGTATTCTTATGTACTACTGGAAATGGACATTGGACTAGAGGATTTGCAGAGGTCCCTTCCAAACCCAAACAATCTGTGATTCTCTGACAGGTTACTGAATAGGTAATACTAGAGACCAGTAGCTTGCTTACTAAATGGGATTTTAACCTATATATTAGAGTCAATAGGTCAGTTTTGTGATTGAATACAAATTTTAAATCTCATTGAATGTTGTAATATTAATTGCTAGGTCAAACTGAGCAAAAACAGATGCATGGAATTTATGAGATAACTCATTTAACATAACTGATGCACTTGGGAATGTCAGCCTTGTGTTCATTTTGTGATACTGACAGTGAGAATTTAGAGGTCTTGAAGTATTCATTTCAGGAAGTGCTAAATATAAACCTCATAGTGTAAGCAGAGAATGTTTGTTTATTCTAGAACCCTCTGAACTCTTGTCATGGCCTGTCTTCTCTCTCCTCTGTATTTCCAGCCAGGGGCAATGGTACCTAAAAGTTCTTGTGAGAACTGTGTGTGCACAGATGAACAGGATCTTGTGACACAAACCAACCGCATCCAGTGTCTTCCAGTGAAATGCCAAACCACCTGCCAGCAGGTCAGCACCTTCTCACCACAAACAATGGCTGTTGAGGAGACCTACTCTGAAACCAAGATAGTGTAACTGCTTTCTCACTGCAATACAGCAGGATAAAACCTTCTTTTTTTCTTTTTTCTTTTTTTTTTTTTTGCAAAGTCGTTTTTAGGGTGATGGTTATTTTTGCTCTAGGAAATTTAAGAGTTCACACTTGGAAAGATGCCTGAAGGGGAATGATTGCAAACCCGTTAAATTCTGACTGCTGAAAGATGTTTGTGCCATTTTGTTGGTGTTGCCCAGTGTCATCTTAAAAATTAAGATTGTGAAGAAACTGCAGAATAGGTTATGTGCTTTCAGACACTTCTCAGTACTTGTGAGCTGAGAGTACTCAGCTACTTCTCAGTACTTGCAAGAATCAGCACACAAACAGTTCAGTCTTTTGTGTGTATATATATATATATATATATATAAGTAGAGTGGTTGATTTTCCATTCACGCCCTGATAAGGCCAGACCTACTACCAATGTTCAAAATGGACAAAATCTTTCATTATGCTTTATCCTGAAGCCAGACACAGCCACACTCACCAAGAGAGCAATGGATCCTAAAACACAGCAATAGTTGTTGTGGATAATGATATCAGGCCAAGCAGTAGTGGAAGATTGTGCAAGTAATCATAGGCTGAATTAATTTATTTGGTCTGTCTTGTGTGTTAGCCTGAAGAAGAATAGCCAATGGCAGGGTTTTCATGGCAACTGAAGTGCTCAGAAGTCACTATTCAATAAAGTTGGAAAATTGATAGCTTTGATTGTCAGGCTTAAAGTGGTTTCAGCAGGTTTCTAAAGACGACAGAAATGACACCAGAAGATTGGGTCATTTCACCTCTAGTGTAGCTTTGATCCAAAGGTGCATCATGAACAAGACATCAGTTAACATGGCTAAATGGAAACTTTATTCCCACAGGGTTTTCGCTATGTGGAAAAGAAAGGTCAGTGCTGCAGCCAGTGCCAGCAAGTGGCATGTGTGGCAAATTTTCCATTTGGCAATGTGAGCATTGAGGTAAGCCCTCCCTTGCTCTGCACACAAAGCTGAATTATCAAAAAGACCTCAGCTTTTTTTTCAACCAGTGTCTTGCATTTTAAGGCTGGGAGGACCTCGAGGAGTTGTAAAAATGTCTGTATTTCCAAAGTAAATGGAGATGTTTATACAGGTGCTCTCTGCTGTGTGCATCACACAGATGCTACTGCGTTTAAAATTATGTATCTCTGGCAAGGAATGAAAATCATGCTGTCTCCTCTTTCCTGATGTGCAAAAGAAAGAGTTTGGAGGGGATGGTGACATTGTGTAATACTGCTCTTGCAGAGACACAGGAGCTGGCTTCACATCATATTGCTCCAATCTGGAAACAGTTCCATTATCTTGCCCTTAAGATACATACAAGATAAATAGTGTGAGCAAGCTGTTAGAGCTGTACTACCACTAGTTCTGAATTTTTTGAGGTGGAAATTAAGTGGCATAGCTGCTATAGTGTAGTGTGACTGGTAACACACCCAGGTAATACATCATGTCTTGTGAGTGTAGCATTGTATAGGCATGAACTGAGCATTTAAAGGATGGACTTGATGATCTTGGAGATCTTTTCCACCCTTAATGATTCTATTATTCTATTTCTTTGGTTTTATTACAGCCTGCTACTCCTGTGAACAGTTAATGATGGTGTTTCAACCACTGACTATTGTCTTACATGCTGTTGCTTCTCTGGTAGCTCTTGTGTTCTGTGTCTTTTCTATTTCATCCTTTTATTCCTTTGCAATTGTCCATTAACCTCTATTGCAAAGACTTCTGTCTTCTTTTACACTTTTTTCTTTTCTTCATCTATTAGAAAATAAAACTCTTTAAATCCTTTAAAATACTTATTTTTCTCTTCTGTATATTTTAGCTCACAAACATTAGCACAGCTACCTTCTGTTCATATCTCTGTGACCATTTTGCCACCAGTTTTACATTCTTTCCACCTGGGTAGCCACAAAAGGGATTTTGCATGGACTGGTAGTAGATGGGCTTGTTACATAATTTGCAGATGAGAGTTCCAGACATCTCAGTCCTTTCAGAGTGAGATGAACAACCCAGTCCCTCTGTCAGTTCATTGACTGTATTGCTGTTGCAGTATTCTGTTTTTATTGCTATACCATATTAACTTGTTTTGGTTTCGGGGTGTTTTTTTATGTTTTTATTCAGGTTGGAAAGAGCTATAAAGATCCATATGATAACTGTACTCAGTACACATGCACTGAATCAGCAGGCCAATTTTCCTTGACTAGTACAGTAAAGGTCTGCCTACCATTTGAAGAAGCAAACTGTGTCCCAGTAAGTATTTTAGAGTCAGAAAAAGACTTATGGAATGAGCCCTGCTGCTGCCCTGGGAGTTATCTTTGCTGTTTTGAATGAGTCACTTCAGTGTTTCTTGTCCTTTCTGAGCTGATCATCCTCACTTGAAGGAAATGTGCTTTTTCAGTCCTGAATGAAGTGTCCCATGGTAGTTAAGCAAAAATATTTGCAAACAAACCCATACATTTTACACTGATGTGGGATAAGTACTAGAACTTGAAGAGTAGGGTATTGGGGCAATAGCAAAGTGGGATTTTTCATCACTTAAGAGACATCAGTGCTACAAAATGCAACTGACTAAGTGGTAACTCACTGTGGATCCCTGGGGGACTGATGACCACAGTGTCTTCTGATATGTAGTGTATAATAAACAAAGAAGTAGAACATGAATGAACAAGGGTATAATTCATACACTGTCTTTCAGCTATTCGTAGTTTCCAGTGACTTCCAGAAGCATTTTGGGGCTTCACAGCAGATCTGAAAATCAAAGCAGGGACAAGGACAGCTATTCACTTGAATCAGCTTTGGGGTAGGCTCTGCATAGATCAGACTACTCAATTCCAGGAGCAGCTGTCATTCTCTGGGCTTCAATAGGACCTACATAACATCAAGCATGCATTAAAGGACATCTTACCTGGCTTGTGAGAGGATATATAGTTTTAAGTTAAAATTCACTTGTTTCCTTGCTGGGTAGTTTGGTTTGATTTTTTTTAAAGCAGCTTTATATGTAATCTGCTGGGTAGTTTGGTTTGATTTTTTTTTAAAAGCAGCTTTATATGTAATTGGTACACAGATGTGTCTGATAAGGAAACTATGTTGATTAGGGATGAGGGAATATACCTGAACATTGCTACTATTTGCTTAGCAATACAGGCATCTGAACTAACTGTTATGGTTGCTTTCAATACAGGGGACAGTTGATGTGACTTCAGATGGCTGTTGTAAGACCTGTGAGTGCATTAAATTGTTGATTCTCTATTCTGATACTGTTTGGTTCTTCCTTGCTTGTAGTTCTGTTTCTGCATGCATTGAGAGTCTGCAGTTTCCACAGACCAGAAGACAGTTCTTACAGCAGCAGAACTGTTTTGTACTTCACAGCTGAGACTAAAAATCAGCCTCATTCTCCCAATGGGAACACTAAACTGTTTTAAACTCCTCTTCTGTGTTTTTAAATAACTGAAATCCTGTTAGCTGAACTTTACTCCTGGCAAGAAAAGTTGTAGAAAACATTCTCTGCATTATTCCATCTGAAAATTGCATAGAAATAAAGGTTGATTCTCTTCTTTTTTTTTTTTTCTGTAGCATCCACTCAGAAATCTTAGGTAGTTATGGAGTGGCAAATGTAATTTATAGCAGTTTTAGAAAAACCTGAGCCTTTTGTGCCTCCTTTAGGTCTTGATTCAACACTGTCTTGACATGATAAACCTAGTCTACAAATGGAAAAGTACCTTGGCCATCAGGAAATTATTTGCTGAATTAGTTCCTCTTTGCACTCTCATTTGTGGTTTTGATTATGCATTTTAACTATAAAAATAGTTCCTCTTTGCACTCTCATTTGTGGTCTTGATTATGCATTTTAGCTATCAAAGGTTTTACTAGGATGGCTTACTAGCAGATACCTTTCCAAACATTTATTCCCCAGTATGAAGAAGTCTAACAGAAGTGTTTTTTCTACCCAGGTATTGACCTGCCTCATAAATGCAAACGCAGTGTGAAAGAACAGTATATTGTCCACAACAACTGTAAGTCAGCTGCTCCGGTCCCAGTGCCCTTTTGTGAAGGGATGTGCAGTACCTATTCTGTGTAAGTAGTGTCCTCCCACATGGCTGGGCTTCCTGGGCTCTTGTCACCAATGGGCTGCAGCTGTTTGTCCCCTTCCTGCTGTTTAGAAGGACCTGATTGGGAAATGGGTGTGTGGAGCAGCAGTCATTAGTAACATCTTTAGTATGATAGGAGTGCCTTATCTTAGTTAGGAAAATAGGTGCTTCTGGAAAGACATCAGCTAAATTTATTAAACATGCTCTTAAACATGTCTTTCTATGGTTTTATCAAACAGTTCTGGTGTTTACTGGAATCTTAAACATGTCTTTCTATGGTTTTATTGAACAGTTCTGGTGTTTACTGGAGTTTTTTCCTGCCCTTTGTTCTCTGCATGAGTTGTTCCTTTCTGTCTTGCCAGAATGGGCCTAATCCCACTGAAGTTACTGAGATTTTTTTCCCCCATTGGTGTCAGAGGATCTGGCCCTGCATGGCCAGTAGCATCCTGAGGAAAGCCTGTTAGGAATAAGCAAAATAAAAATAGATATGAAATTTTGCTTCTCTGCTCTTTAAAAGTACCTCCATTTGGAGCTATAAATAGGGATCAGTTTGGGAAGACAACAGGCAGCAGACTGATGTGAAAAATCCCATTTTTACAGGTATTCCTTTGAGGCCAGTGAAATGGAACACAAATGCATTTGCTGCCATGAAAAAAGAAGTCACAAAGTGAAGGTGGACCTGGTTTGCTCTGGGCATAAGACAGTCCAGTTCACATATGTGTATGTAGATGAATGTGGATGTGTGGAAACAAAATGCCCAAAGAGGATAAGATGAGTATAAACTAAAGGAAACATTCCATCTCTCATTTAATCCTTCCCTAGCAAGAGAGTAGTTTAGAAAACAGCTGTGACTAACCTTCATGTGACCATGCTTGTGCTTTTTTTCTTCCTGGTATTATATACAGTTATGGAAATTAGCTAAGATTTTACTCTAAATGTTTGTAGAATAAACTGCATTTCAAAGAGTACTTGTTCTCCTGTTTCAGTGATGCTGCTAATGGGGTAAAGTGGCTAATGTCTTTAATCCTACCCTGGTGTATAAACCAAGGTTATTACAAGACACTCTGGAGACAGCTGATGCCTTTTAAAAGTCCTCCCTGAAGAAAGTGCACATTGTAAAACTATAACCACATGCTTCACTTGATTTTCCTTAGAAGGGAAACAGCAATCACTTCCACAGCTGTGGTACAGACAGAGGCAGGACTTGGCTCAGGGCCACGTTTGTGTTCTTCTCCCCAGTGGTCCTGAACCTACTTTGACTGTGACTCTGGGTCACTGGAGAAAATCAAGGTGCTTTTCTTCCTTCTGCACAGTGACTCCGTATCAGGAGTGTAAAATCACATTTTTCGCATAAACACTACAAAACCAACATCTTTACATGTTTTTGGGAGTCCTTATCTCACTGGGTTTTTTTATTATTTGCCAACATCAAACTCTGAGCTATGTGTTAGTTTTCAGTCTCACTGCTCGTTACCTATGATTTGTGTTATAAAGTTATCTCCCAGCTAACATGTCCAGTGGTACTGGTGACAGTATCTTATGTGGGCAGGGGTCAAAATGATCCAACAATACCTGCAGAGTATGCAAGGAAGGCAGATGCTGCTGTTACTTGAGTAATTTGGCCTTTTGTGAAAGAGTGTTGAAGACTGTGACTTTCTCAGATAGTGTCCTGCAGCCTGCTGTGCAGAGTTTTGGGGAATTGTTTTGGAGGGAATGCCTTTGTACTGACCAGGTAGATATAGACTGCATTAAACTTTGACCTTCCATTTTAAAATGTTGCAGCTCTTGAGCCCCAAGAAATCTTTTATTTGCTTCTTTTTCATAATAAGTCATTTCAGCTGATGTCAGGTTACTTTGATGTGTACTGTTTCATTATGGTGTTACTGACCTCAAAATTGTGGGAATCCTTGACTTGGAGTAGGCATAGGAGTTGAATGGTACATGTTTTTCTACAGTCTTACCTGAAAGTCCTATGCTTAATGGGTCATCACTGTGGTGCAATGGTGCAGTCCATGTTATGCTTCTTCAGAATTCAACTCAGATTGTTTTAAATAACTCATTCCTCAGCCCTTTCTGGAATGATTTGTCTCAGCCTAACAGTAGTGTAAGAGCCCTTGGGAAGTTATCAGCTTCTCAGCACCAGGTATTCTGAGAGCCAGGATAGCCAGGTTAGACAGCTGAAGTCAGAGGAGGTGAATTTCATTCTTTGTCTCTATTCTGTTTCCTTATAAACAATAAAAGAAAGACTGTGTGTACCTAAGAATCACAGTGGGAATAGGTGCACTGCAGGTATCTTTGGAAAATGTGGACAACAAAATCCAACAAGGTGTTTGTGATGAAGTTATGAATTATAGAATCATAGAATAGCTCAAGTTGGAAGGGACCCATATGGATCACCAAATTGTACCTAACTCTCCCATTCCCAGCCTCTGCACTAGTCAGTGGAACAATTTGCTTGATTTTAAATTATAGGAGTCTCCAAAAACTTTGATTAACTTTCAGTGCAATGCAGCTCCCTTGGAAGGCACATGTTGCAATTGCTTAACAGCGAGGTTCATGTATAAATTTCACATTAGTTCAGAAAACTGTTTTTATTGATAAAAATCAAGTGCACACATCCTTATACAATGCAAAGCACAGCAGCAAAAAATAAAAAAGGACATTCCTTTCTTTCTTCCTTGCCTTTGCCTGAGGGGGATGTGGTCACACTTGAGTGCTTTTGCCATCAGAATAGTAAACAGGCTCTGTAATTAGTCATATACACACTCATGTAAATTAGTCATTCTCAGCAGGATGGTTTAGCAGGAATATGATCAGAAACATTTGCATGTCTGCATTATCTTCAGGCGGTTGAAGGGAAAAACCCAGAATAATCTACAATCTAATCTTACTAGGTATATTCATATTTTTAATCTCTGGTCTGTTTTAGTGATGAAATTTTATACAGGATTTGAGAAGGGCATTGATTTTAAAGCATACTTTCCCGTTCATTTTTGGCATGCCTTTGCTTTTCAGGCAAGTGAAATGCTGGAACCAAGGGCATATTTCCATCTCCAGGATACTTTTGAACAGAGGACCATGTGAAATCTCGCATGCTTCTTCTTCATTCCCAGTTACACCTGGCACTTCATTTACCCACTCAGTCCAGCATGTAACTGGCCTGTGCAATACTATTTACAGTGGCCTGTATTAAAGTGAACTCATTGGTCCTCTGTGTGCAGGGGCAGAGTCCTAGCTAGCTGCCAGCAAGACAAAACCATTTAATGAGAAGTTTCAGCTTCTTCAGCTGGGAGACAGTCAACATCTCCACCCAGACCCACTGTCCAGAATCAAAAATCAGCCTGAAGGCTGCTTGATCAACCCACTGGTAAGGTGGCCTTTCTTGCTCAGTGACTCTACCCCTGCATGCAGCAGCAGCATTGCTGCTTACACACAGCAAGCTGGATTCATACACTTTAACTGTGGTCTTTCTTTAGGCTGTTGCTGCAAGCTCTCCACCAGAATGGGCAAAGTTTAACACAGGAGAGCTTGCCTGTAAGAGCTTGATTTGACCATGACCCTGCTGCTCTGCCGTGTGGCTGCTTCTCACGTGTGCATGGTCAAGCCTTGATCTGTAGCCCAAGGCCATCTCTTCCTGGTCTCTGAAAGTCAAATATTTCCCTGGTGTAACTCAAGAAAAATCAGTGGCATTGCTCCAAGTACTGTTTCTTCCTTTTGCGTGAATTCTTTACACCAGCATAAACTTCAATAGGGTAACCCCAGGAGAACAAGTGCTCAGCTGAGCCAGTTGGGCCAGGGCTCAGCTGGTTTCAGCCAGTAGCCATTCTTTTCTTATCATGCGAGGATGTTACTCCCACTCACTGAACAGTTCTGAGCCAACACACCAGGAAGTACTGTCCCATATTGCTAAAATAAATATTTGTTGCAGATACTGCCTCGTGTCAGGTGAACAAATCCTAAGATACTTTATCATTTTACTGGTGTGCTCTGAGTCTGGGTTGCCATTATGAGATGAATTTTGACTTGTCTATTGGTTTGAGGTTTGGAAAGGTCAGTTCCCAACACTACTTTGGTGCAGTTTAGCTAAGTTTTTGTTCAGCTGTTGTCACCAATTATTGATGTTTGCAAAGAACAAAAGAAAATTCAAGGTGTGCTCTGGATTTTTATTTGAGGAGAGGCACTGTGCTTTGACCTAGTTTTCCACTGAGCAGATCCCCTGGCTGTGGAATCAGACCTCTAGTGTTATCTAAGGTGTGCTGTATTGATATCAATCTATTCTGGTATCTAGAATCTGAGCTGAAAACAAAGACTGTGAACTGTAAATGCCCTCTAATACAGAAGGGATTGTTTGAAAGAATGCTGCCCCTATTTTTTTTCAGCGTACCAGCTTAACAATTAGAAAGTTGCAGTGTAAACATGAAAAAATTTGTCTAAATATCACTCAGGAAAGTTATCTGATTAGTAATGAACCAGAAAAGAAAATAGTCTGGCAAATTCGATGGGTCATCTTTCGGGTAAGGGGTAGACTAAGGATTGAGAGGTTTGAGAGCTGTGCCTGGTGCTTCTACAGGTTCGTGTGTTCAAAGACATGTTCTTGGCCTTGTGTATATTTCCTTCCTGATCTAAGATAAGGATAAAGGTAGGCCTTTGTTTCTTTTATGTGGTTGTAACATGTAGGTTCATAAAGCCTTTTTGCGGTGATATACAACATGGTATTTGCAATCCCAAAACAGCTACATGTTTTTGTCTGGCATCCCAAACATCCCTTAGGAGAAAGAGCTGTGACAGCTTTCCAAAGACAAGGTATCAGTTGTGAAAATCTTTCTTGTTTTTACACTTCAAAGGATCTGATTTTTCAGTATCTTTAGGGCAACAATAGAGTCTCAGTTTACCTTGTAGTACTTACAAGTCCATTCTTAGTACTTACAAGGCCATTCTCACATCCATTTAATCCTTTGACAATGAAATCCCTCTCTCAGGAAAGCAACTCCATTGGAGGTGTGCCTAGGCAGTTGGCTTTCTGTCAAGAGTAGGTCAAGGTTTGAGTCAAGAGTAGGCCAAGGATTGCTCATGAAGCTATAGAAAGGTTGTGGTTTCTTATGCACTTTCCTTTTCTCTAAAAGGTGTGAAGGCCCAGTTTGCATTGGTAGTCTGTAAGGCACTGTAACTGATACTCTCTGGCTTTAATGTAATGATTTTTATTTTTTTCAATTCAAAGGGAATCTGCCCAATGTCTTCCTGCAACTGTGTGTTGACACTTTGGTCATAGATATCCTTGTTTAACTCTTGCTTGCTTTCTATGAAGGCCTATTTTTAAACTATCCTCCTTTTTTGGAAAGAAAATTATTGAACTACTGATTCTCTAGAGGATACAATCCAGTAGGGTCTCTCATTGATATGGGTGAAGAGACCAAGGACTGACTGGGTAGGCTCTGGTTCACCCTGTATACCTAAAAAAAAGTCTGTATAAATCAGGAGTTGAGGCACTGTAATTGTTCTGTGCAGTTACTGAAAACTGCTATGCACCTAACCTCAGCATAACTGTCTCCTAGAAATGCCCCCACATCTCTTTTTTTTGACTTCCTAGGCAGTCTGAGGTAGGTACAGCCTTACCTCATCTAAATCCTATAAAGCAATGCAAGACGTTGATCCCAAATGCGAATGTTATATATTTGTAACAGGAAGCACCAAATATTTACAGCAAATTCTTCCAGCCTTATGTTCAACCTTGAATATCTCAACCATCAGCACTTTCAGTGAAAGACCCTTTCATCCTGATTTTTAACAAGAGTAATGCTGAGAACAGTGTCATTATTTTCAATAGGGTTTTTTTTTTGTAGAGGGCTTCATCTCACTTGCTTTTAACATCTGTAGTTGTCTTCCAAATTTTCCCTTTACTATTTTTTTATGTTTTAAATGTAATCCTTAGTAACTGGTCTCATTCTCAGCCACAACACACAATGAAT